TCCTTGTCCTGAATCTTCTGCTTGACATTGTCAATCGAGTCGGACGGCTCCACGTCGAGCGTAATGGTCTTGCCGGTGAGGGTCTTGACAAAGATCTGCATGGTGCGATGTGCTCGAAAGTCGGCAAAATCGAAAGTGGTGCTTCTGGAAGATCGGTGTTCCGCAGAAACGCGGCTTGACCAACACTCTCTCTTGTTCTCGAAGTGGTAACAAGATATAGTGAAATCAAGTCAAGAATTGGCAGAGTGTAGGTCGTCGTCCTGATGCGATCTTCTCCAACTCTCGTCCTCGAAAGGTCGAAGTGCGGTGCGTTCTTGCAGGGAAGGTGGTCAAGATCTGGTCTGTCCTGGGGGCAAACTTTCGGTGATAGAGAGAGGAGCGAGCACACACACATCCCTCTCCGGTGTGCGGGATGTCGTGCCCTCGTCCTGCCAAATCGTGGAGGGAATATGCGAAGAATTGCTGGTGGTGAATACGGGTACAGCACACGTTGCCACTGCTGTGAGTTTAGTCGGTAGCCCAGTTTCTAAAGCTGACAAAGTTGTGTCAGCGCATGGGGGCATGAAGGAGAATGAGCTTATCTGACTGAACATCTGCAGTTCGCCGCAGCAACCAAACACTAACGGAGGTGCCAGTATTACAAAATCATTTCGATGGTACATCGCGATGTTCGTGTCGTTTAGGTGAGGCGTACAACTGCACTTGCTGCAATGAGGGGCGGGCGCTCGATCAACTGTGCGATGTGCTGATGTCATCAATCCATGGGTGGCCATCCCAAGGCGCTGGCAAGGTCGATCTGTCGTCCTGCGTTTTGATACTGCCAGCCAACCACGACACAGACTTGCTCGCGGCGCTGCTGCATGTGCATTGTCGCGACCTGTGGTACGAAGCACTGAAGGTCATATACGATCTATGCCGAGACAAGGTCCCCCGGGCATTCAATCGTTCAGTTACTGTGGTTAATAGATTATATTCATGGGTTACGGCGGCACTGTGGACTGTGTCGACGTCAGTGGTGCGCAACGTCCGATTTGGACGGACTCAGCTTAATCTCGTCGAGCTTGACATCGGAGGGATGGATCGGCGCTGCGCTCGTTGCTTGGTCGACGACTGGCGCCGGGTCTTCCATCGTCACGAGGTTGTCGAGGAACGTCTTGGGGCGCAAGAACGACGTCGCCCCTAGTGATCATCATGTCAGACGACGTCTCCACCTCCTAATGCGGGAGCAGTACCAAGGACGATGCCGCGTTTTTCGGCCTCACGCAGCTCGTACACACTGCGCAGCTAGGCACCAACAGTGAAGTGCCCATCCACTCGATCAACCTACCTCCGAATACGTCGCGCCCCCCACCACAAACACAAGCAATTTCTCGCCCACAAATGCGTCCTTGCCCTACCAAGCACCCAAGCCACAGTCACACCCGTGCGACCAGAGTCGGTCGTACTCCCGTCGGCGAATCGCTGCCTTTGGTAAACTTTGCGGCCACTTTCCTAGACCTCCAAGTGACAACAACCGCGCGGCGACAAAGGGTTGTTCGTACTTGCGCATCGAGACGGGCTCTTTCTTGGACGTCGGCGAGTTTGACCCCGGCGGGGGACTGATCACGTACGGGAATTCCGTCGCGTCCAGCGACTTCTTGAGAATCTTGTCCATCCAGCCTTTCAACTTAGGCTCGTACCGAGACGTGGCGTACTCGGACGACGACGCTTTCTTGGCGGCCGTGGTCAAGTCGTCGCTCGTGAGAGCATGGCCCGCGGCATTGGACACGACCGAGATCTTGGACATAAACACACCTAGGTACTTCATGTTTTGGAGTGCTTTGTCCGTGATGGCGGGGAGGTTGGCCAACTGAAACAACTTCTTGCGTTCGACGTCTTTAACAGCATCCTACAAGGGTGTTTGTTCAACAAACTCGCCGCCACCAGCAGCGACGACCCATCTTACGTTCGTAATGACAAAGATCGCGAGGAGGCGCGCCTTGTCCGAGTTGGGAATCTTTGGGTCGCGCAGGAGATCTTCCATGTCCTTCATCACCTTGGGCAGTTTGATCTTCTTCCCCGTTTCATCCACCCCCGTCGCCATGCTCTGTTCCAGCGTCGACACCCCCAGCAAATCCGTCTTTGTGAACGCATCCAGAGTCTTTCCAGCCAAGTACAAATGCTGCGACAATTTGCTGAGTGTGTCACGGAACTCGGGCAGTTCCCGAAGGGCCGCGGCGAGCTGCGCCACGTCCGGAGCCTTGCCGCCTTTGCCTGTCAACGAGGTGCCGGCGTTTGATGCAGACAACGCCGCCATGCGCTGGCCAATGTCTTGACTTACTTCCTGCAACAACGCGATCAAGGTCAAACTTGAATGCGAAGTATGGTGAATGGATCGTACGGCAATGTGCGTGTGGCGCAGTTCACACCACAGCGGATCGTTCTCGTTCAAGAGGGCTTGCTTCGTGATGGTGCCGTTGGCGGTGTCGGCGGGAAACGAGATCGCGTCGCCGTCGAGGCCGTTGCCGTCCAAGAGGTCATAAACCATCGCTTGATAAGTGCATTCATGCATGAGCGGTGACATTTGGTCTTGCGATCGCTCCATGAAGAGCAGCGTCGACCGCTGGGGACAGTAAGCAAATGCCGAGTTGCTCGCAACATAGTCGTTCATTTTGGCTTGAAAGAGGCGGGCGAGTGTTTCCATCTTGTGCTGCCCAGCGCGGAAGCGGACGTACGGGTACTCGTCAAGTGTCGCACAGAGCGTGACGAGTTTGGCGCTGATCGATTGCAGCATCGTGTCTAACGTCGACGGATTCGACAGTGGCGAGTACAAAGTGTGCATGGCGGTCGGCATATCGAGCGAGAACGCGGCTTGCTCGATAGCGAGGAAGTCCAAGTTGACTTCTTTCAACGTCTTGACACGGGATAAAAGTGCTGAACTTGTCTTGAGCTTGGTCAACACGGCATCGTCGAGGTGGGAGTTGAAGTACAAATGGACGGCGCCGTACATGGGAGAGTCTGGCTTGGAGAAGTCCGCGACGACCTTGTCGAGGGAGGTCGCGGTAGGAGAAATGAAGTAGATTACCGCCATCTCTGGAAACGGTTGGCGTGCAAGTTCCAATCGCTCGACGATGGACACGCCGCGCTCGGTCAAGTCTGTCATTCGAATGACGGTGTTGGCCAAGTGGGTCGTCGTGTCGTCGAGGACGAGGACGACCCATCCATGGGAAGCCAAGCTCGTCTGCTTGATCATCTTGTCCAAAAGGTTATGCTGAACAATCGTGCGGAGGTTGTGCGAAGTCGCGGGTCCCTTGCTCATGCTTGTCGACCGGCACGTGCAGAAGTGCTCTTCCCTCGTATTTTTCCCGTGTCGTTTCGAAACGGTTCAAGTCCCGGCGTTTCCATTGGGCAAGGTCATTCTCGAGGGGTGGCGATGGCCCCTGACTTGACACACCAGCATCACGAGACGAGAGCCAAGATGTCGCAAGGACGCAAGGACAGCGTGCTAGGACGCAGCACGATGAGATGCCCTTGCTGTTGCAACCATAGCTAGCTTTTTGTCTTGCCATGGTTCACTGCAACCGTGCCTCGCTAGATTTCCTGGGCATGACCAACACTCTCGAAGATCTGCTGTTCTTCCTCGCATTGACTGTGGCGACGATGAACTCATACGAGATGGACACGTTGTCGGCGGACCTGGCGCGAGCGCTGCCGGATGTGTTTGGGGCGTATGGTATATATGGCTTGTATGCAGGGGTGGCTGTCCTCGTGTGGCTCGTGAGCTACCTCGTCGTGATCTCTTTGGAAATCCACCCACTCGCCGCCCACGAAGGTCTGGTCTACACCCAGCCGGACTCCGTCTCCCGACTCATGAGCATCTCGTCGCTGTTTTTCGCACTCCTATGCGTCTTGACCCCGCCTGTGGACGTTTACGTGGCGACGACGCGTCACCTGAATCAAGCCAAGGCCATCGGAACGTTCTACAACGTCCTCTTCGTCGTGCTTCTGCTATACTCGTTCCTCCTTTCGCCCTTTGCGTACTTTTATTCCAAGCAAAGCGAAATTCACCACATTACACGGTACTCCACGTCGCAGCGCCTCGCAAGTGCGCTGAAACGCACGGCGTGCTTCCTCTGCTTTATGCTGATCCTCATCCTCGCTGTGCTTGTGATTGTGCTCGGTGGCAAGCCCAAGACAAGCGACATTGAGTGGCTCAAGCCACTGTTGGACCTCCAAACTGACGCTACGCTCACGTTGCATGTGTTCCTCGGACTCGTTCTGAGCATGGGTATGATCTTGTGGATCTGGCTGGGGTGCCGTGCCCTTGCCACGGTACCTGTCGACGGATTTCTCCGTCCTCGACAGAACGACCGCGCTGCGTTGAGCTACCTCATGGAAGAAATCGAATTGGAGGCGCACTCAATCGAGAGGGCGCGGCAATCCGTCCTGCGCAAGTTCACTGCCACCGGGGTAATGTCGGACGTCGACCAGGCACGGCTGGATGAACTCAAGAATCGGGACCAGGTGCTGCTCGAGCGCCGACGGGTGTTCGCCAAGCAGTCCAAGAAGTGGTTGTGCTGCACATCCCTCGTGTGGCGCCTTCCCTTTGGGATCTTGCTCATGTTGGTGTCGATTCTGATCATACTGTCGCTGCTGCTGACATCCATTGACCGACTCCTCCACTCCAACTACAAGTCTGGTACAGTTCCCCATATGCCTTGCAAACACCCTTGACATCGTTGCCACAGGTTTTATCATCGACCACCCATTGATTCCAAACCCCATTGACTTCGTCCTTGTCCTGGCCTCGCGGGTATTTCCTCTCGACTACGCGATCTTTGCCATTTGCTTCTTGTACATCTTCGTCGTGTCGTTTGTGTGGCTTGGTCGCCACGGCTTCCAGTTTCTGTGCTTCCGCATCGATCGGCTCCACCGCCACCACACGTCGCCATCAACACTCGTGCTCGCCACGTTGAGCACGGTCTACTTGGCCCTCGTCGGTCTCTTCTCGCTCCCGACGCTCGCACCGCAGTACACCGCGTTCGGCCATCAACAATATGACAGCAATGGCACCTCCGTTCCGTGTTCGTTCAATGTGACAGCCGACCCCACCTTCATGTGCAAGCCATCGCAGCTGTCGCAGATTTACAATGGATTTGCAGTCAGCGTGCCGGTGGCAGGCACAGCGTTCGTCGTCGCTCAGGTCGTGTGCGCCCTCATGTTTGTCCCATTTGTCATTCAAGCATTTTTGATTGCGGATGTCCACACGAGCGACGGGTCTCCCTCCGATGACCCCAAGCGAGAAGCGTTGCTGAAGCGATAAGTTACACGATACGTGTTTGTTTCGTGTTGAGGTCCAGTGGACGGCAATCATGCGTATGCAGGAAGGCCCACCCTAGACCAGTGCCCGTGAACGAGAATCGTTGGTAGACTCGGTCAGATTCAACAGTATTCCTCGTTTTCTGCAGGCTGCACCTAGCAGGTGCAGAGTTTCGAACGGGTCACAACTGTGTATGACAACTAGGGAACGTCAACGGGATGTGTGCGCGGAGTCCACGCCCTCCTCCCGCTCGCCGTCACGGCGGTCGCTATGTCGCCGGCACCCTGGACTCTGCAGGAAGGCGAAGTTCGAAGCGAACTGCCAGGTTTTCGAATATAATCAGTACAAACCAATCAAAACGGGACGATTTCGAAGCACGACGCCAGAGCAAGTGTCGAGTGTGGAATTGTGCCGCACGATGCACCTGGCGACCCAATTCGGCGGGATGACCGTCGCTGCCGCACTCATGGCGGCGGGCTCGCTGTGCATCAATGCTTCGAAAGTCGATGGGAAGATGCTGTACTTGAGCGCCACTGTAATGCTCTTGGTGGAAGTGCTGAAGGGACTGATTTGTGGAACAGTTGTCGCGGTTGTCGTCCCTCGCAAGACCGCCCTGTGGATTGGATGGCGCGAAACTCTGTATTTTGCGATTCCTGCGCTGCTCTACACAATTGACAATAACCTCGTGTTTGTGATCCTTCGGTTCATCGACCCTGCAACGTTGTCGATCCTGTGGAACCTCAAGATTTTCACGACTGCTGTGCTGTTCCGCGTCGTCCTCAGGCGGTCCATTAGTCATCTCCAAGTCGTGTCCCTCGTGCTTCTCATGCTCGGTGTCGCCACGACCCAGTCGAAGCACGACGTCCAGCCCATACTACAGCACCATGAGAATATCACCACTGTTGCTTCTCGGCGGCAGTTCATCCACGAGCATGACACATCGAGAGTGCTCATCGGACTCGGGCTCGTGTCCATTGCATGCGTAATCTCGTCATTTGCCGGGATTGCGACAGAGTTCGCACTGAAGAAGAACCCGGGAACCCCATTCGTCGTCCAGAACATTTACCTTGCCTCCTTCTCCATGACGTTCAACGGCGTTGCGGCCCTCCTTCAAGTCGGCCCAGGTGGTTTCTTTTTCGGCTACAATTCCTGGACATGGGTGGTTGTGGGCATCCAAGTCGTCGCTGGTCTGTGCATGGGGCTCATCCTGAAGTTCCTCGACAACATTGCGTGTGTATTCACCCACGCCATGGCGATGCTCTTCACGACCCTGGTCTCAATCCTCTTTTTCTCGTTCGATTTCTCGCTCGAATTTGCGTGTGGCTTGAGCGTGTGCATTGTTTCCATGTACTTGTATCACATGCCGTCGGCGGGAGCAGTTTCAGCAGCACCGTCATGCCATGGTGAAAGCAATTCCTCAGCCGAGAAGTACCACAAAGTTGCCAGGATGAGCCCTATTGCGTCGGACACAGTGATCGACAGTCCATGCGAGACCCAGGATGACGACCAAGATAGTGACGGCAATGGCGATGCTCTTGCATGAGGGCCATCACGATTATGTTGTTTAGAGGATCTTAGAGCAAGCTTCAGTCTCTCCATGTGCAGTCGAATACATCCTTCTTTATCTGTCTCCACCGCGTACCGCTCCTCTACTCGAGTGTCACGGAATCACCCGAAGGAACGTAGTTGCTTAGATGAGGTTGACGCAGCAGGCAATAAAATCACGAAAATCCAGCATAATCTTGGCTTTTGAATGGGCAGTTTAATAAATTCCGCAACCGTCGATCTTGGAGGCTTCATTCCACATTCGACCATGTCGACGACGAATGCACCGCCTGCGTCTGCAATCTCCGAAGACTTGTATGTCCTTCTGGAAGTCGAGCGTACTTCATCGGAAGCAGAGATTAAAGCGAGCTACAGACGGCTCGCGCTAAAGTATCACCCCGATCGCAACCGTGGCGTCCCAGGAGCAGAGGAGCGATTCAAGAAGCTCGCGACGGCGTACGCTGTGCTGTCGGACCCAAATCAACGCCGATTCTATGATCTTTCATGTAAAGATGGATCGGGTGGAAGTGTTGCTAGTCTCCATAGCATGCAACCAATCGACGTGAATGAAATGAATGGACTTGGTCGGATGCTGGGGTACGTGTTCACACTACCGTCCAACCCACAACACTTAAGTGTTCTCGTCATGGTAGGGCTCTTTGCTCGAAAATGGGCATTCCGTTGCCAACTCAGATCAGTCAAAACGTTCTCATGGCCGCTCGCGGTAAGTCAAACACTCGACCATTCTCTCGCGTGTTTGCACAGCAAGGTAATTGATTTCACGTGAAGATCTTCAAACTGGAATGGGGGGGTCGAACGTGAAGGATCTTCCCGTGGGTATCGAGATGGCCGGGAAAGTGGACAAGCAAGAAGGGCATTTCTTCCGCGTCAGCATTACCGAGCGCATCGTAGAATCTGGGTTTGTCATGACGTGCCGGTCGATTGCAAAAAGCAAATTCAAGCTCATCTTGTTCGACAAGGACGGGTCAGTGCGCTGCGTACAGGAGAGCGAAACCAGAGCCAAACACACGTCAGCCGACATGTTCCTCACGAAACTAGAGCTCATGGACACCGACGACACGTTCAAGTGCTTGTCCGACCTGGAGCAGACTCTTCCCGATATTTTCCACCGTCTCAAGACCCTCGAGCGCATCCAAACTCCAGCGTTGGAAGCAGGCACGCATCTCTTTTGTGTCTATGGGGACAACTGGTTCTCTTCCCTTCAATACATCGTGCAGTGCCTCCCTATCGAACCCGACACTGTCGAATCGATTCAGCATGTCGAACAAGACCTTTTGCGCACCAAGCTTGAGCTCGAAGCGTACCAAGCCGAGTTTACAGCGGCGCAAAAGGCATATGAAGCCGCCATGGTCAAGGCTGACGGCCTGGATAAGCGCACCAAGGGGCTATTGGCCACGCGCCGCGCTGCGTACGATGACTTCTTCAACGTTGCGGCTTTGCCCTACAAGGAACTCAACAGAAAGGCGGGTGCGCAAGAGCCCGAGGCCACGTCAACGTTTGCAAGTCTATGGAATCGATTTAGCGTCCAGGCACCGCCATCGTCAGGATCGTCGAAGCGAGATGAATTTTGAAGAGATGCATGTGTGGTTGCCGTGATTGGGGATTATGGAGGTTTGGTTGTCCACGTTGCACGGGTGGAAGGAGGGGCGAGGTACATGCACACATCTCCTCATTTGCCGCTCATCCATGTCGTTCATGTGTCTTGCAGGTCCACCGAGCATGCCAATTCCAGCTTCCCGTGCGATGTGTCCACATTAGCTGTGGTGCGAAAAAGACCTGCATTCGCAGTCTTTGCTAGGTGTAGGTTTAATTACCAACATTCCCATGATCATCCCTCACGTTGTTTCCCTCTGCCACTTCGGTGTGTGAGAAGCATGCGAAACCAGTCCGACGACACGCGCAACAACTTGGATAAGCGGTAAGAAATGGAGGACCGCGCTCACATGAAAGCAAGGCATGATGTGAATGTACAGGACGGCACGCACGCGTCACGCCGAGTGGTTCAAGAAAGGCATCGAACACCTGCGCGCAGAGTACCTGACTCGTACCAACGAAGCACCTCGCTCCTTTCTCCATTCGGTCCAAGTGTATGCTCGAATCCGCCCAATGTTGGAACATGAAGTTGCACGAGGAGAATACACGACGCTCACGTGCGTGGGACCAAACACAGTGGCCGTCCACAATTGCCTCATGAAGCCGGGTAGAGTTGCTTCTGCGACAGCCGGGCTCGCTGCTTCTAATGCATTCCTCGTAGACATGGTGCACAAGTACATTGACACACAGGTTCACGAATTCAGCCGCGTGTTTGACGAGGCGACACCGACGGCTACCGTATACGAAGCTGTCGCTCGCCCCCTCGTCCAACATGTCCTTTCAGGCGGCGAATCCGTATGCATGATGTACGACAATCGTGATTTCATTCGTCTTTCATACACTCATCAGGTACGGGCAAACGGGATCTGGGAAAACTCACACCATGACTGGATTTCTCGCCGACATGGGACGGGACCTCATGGCGCTGTCGACGTCCATTCAAATGACGGCGGTGGAGTTGGTCGGATCGAAATGCGTTGGTACATTATCAAACTCGTTTTTTAACTCTGAGCAGCTCATTGATATTGTGTCTTGACGTGCAAAGTTGTGTAGATCTTCTGCATGATCGCACCAAGGTGCTTATTTGCGAATCAGAGGAAGACCAAGCGATACATTTGGTGCACTCCCAGAGCAAAGTTGCGACGTCTGTGGCGGAGTTACTCGCACTCTTTCATGAAGCCGTGAGCCGTCGCGCCACTGAGTCAACACAGGCTAACACAGTGTCGTCGCGGTCACACTTGATTGTGTTCCTCAAACTAGTTGGCGCTGGGCCGCCTAGTGATGGCGGGCAAATGGTTTTGTTGGATTTGGCTGGAAGGTATGTTTTCCATGGTTGCTGTGGAACCGCGAATCGAGCAATAAGTGGCTAGTGAGCGCAAGGAAGATCAATTCACCAATGACAAGCAGCGCCAGCAAGAGACAATTGAGACCAACATGAGCCACCTCGCACTCAAGCAATGCCTTTTGGCCAAAGAGAATAACAGCCACGTGCCATATCGCAACAGCGCCTTGACTCGCATCCTGAAAAACAGCCTGTGGGCCGCCCACAAGTCGTGCCAAGCTGCTGTCGTTGTCACGGCATCACCCATTCCCGCAGGTTGGTCCTGGTCATCTTTAACAATCGGCAGTTTTCACGACGGAGCTAGACACGGAGCACACAATGTGCTCGTTGTTGAATGCGCGCCGCATGGTGGAAGTGAATCCGACGGTGGTGCAAACGGTCTTTGAGATTACTGAAACCTCGGAAGCGAAACCAATCAAGTTGTTCAAGTCGTTCTCGCATGCCGACGTTCAAAAGTGGCTAGGGGCAGTTTCGCATGGTGAGCTTGAGGCATACGTGGACAACATCAAACCAGCCATCACTGGCGCCGCGTTGTTGCGCTTTCCTCCCGCACGGTTCGTCCATCCCGCTTTTTCTAGGCAAACCTGAAATCGATGGAATAACTTTAGGCTCACGCAGTTGTGCAATGGACATGCTGGACATGCCAAGCTACTCCTGCACGCCATGAAGGACTACATCGCAAAAGAGAACGAAGAACGCGCTCGAGAGCGTGATATGCGCCGTGCCAACCTCGGCACGAAATTTTAAGCCTTTGAATGACATGTTCATGTGGTTCACCTTCTTCAAATGTCTATAGCCGGAAATGGCATCCGGATAAACCCTTGTGCTATTGGTTTTCTTGTGTTGGCAGAGACGTTGGCATGCGCAGCTACATCCGCGACGCTACCCGCCGCATCAAAGACCCTGGAATGGGCCTTCCGCGACTCATGTACTCGGTGAACTTGGATAAGGTGTATGTGCTTTGTCTGGCGCTACGAGCAAGATTGATGCACTTGTAGTGGGGAAGACTTGCGATCGAAGTTCATCGCATCCGACTGTGACGAAGAAACCGAGCAATTTCTGGACGTACGTCCTGGCGGTGGATCTCCGGTCGCGACTGCTTATTAGGGGATAACGTTTTAGAGTTGCTTCAACTCAGGGGTGTACAACATGTTGACGTCGATGGTGTCTACAGTGCTGAACCAGTTCTACTCCGTCACGGACACCAACGGGATGCTCCATCGTAAGTCGTGATGAACTCGTGGGAGGAGCTAAGGCAAGCACTAGGGGGCCAAATGTTTGTGTTCTCCCGCGCTCAAGCGGCTCGTCTCTTAAATTTCCCCAACGGGCGCTGCGGAGGTACGTATAATCTGACATGACTCCCATTTTCATCGGAGAACAGGCAAGCTCTTGGACATCGGAGCCGGCGACGGCAACGTGACAGCCAAACTCGCAACGTTTGTCGACACGGTGTATTCCACAGAAGTGTCCATGCCAATGGTTCGCGCGCTCAATGCAAAAGGCTTCAAGTACGATCGAAAGGTCCCTCACCCCACCCCATCGAGCGATTAGTGCAACCCACACGGCCGTTTTGTCGCATCCTGACATCATTGCGAATGGCCCGTACGAGATGATCAGGTGCATTTGAGATGAAGGCGTGCGAACGCATTGCTCACGTCCATTTCAGTTTGCTGAATGTTCTCGATCGCGCCGACACGCCGCTGACGCTTCTAAACCAAATTCGCGACTTGCTCACGCCGACTGTATTGATCATGAATTTCGTGTCAAGTGGGTGACGCTGTCTTCTTGTGTAGGGTGTCCTGCTAATCGCTGTCGTCCTGCCCTTCTCTGCCTTGTGAGAACACTGGATGTTTGTGAACTAGCCCGACCAACCTCGTGTACGTAGCGTGGAAATGGGGACGCAAAAACTCCCCCCCAAGGAAGTCCTGCCGATGAACGGTGGATTGTGTGCAGATGGAGATTCGTTCGAAGATGCGGCCCGCATCATGTCTGCCAAGGTATCTCAACCAGTCCACGTGCCGTAGATCCATTCCTTTGTGTGCAGGTCTTTACTCCTTGCGGATTTGAAGTTCACTCGTTCAGTCGCGTGCCGTACCTTTGTCGAGGCGACATCTCCCAGCCGTACTACGTTTTGCATGACGCATTGTTTACCTTGAAGAAGTCGTTGCACAACTTGTAATCCCCCTGAACACGACCACCCGTTCAGTCCTCGTCATTGTCGGTTCCATTCATTCCCAACTGGCTGCACGGCGGCTACCAAGGCGAGTCTACGACAGCTCTGACACGGTGCATGGAGGGGCAGCTGCATCACAATCCATCCTAGCAAGGGACTGCATGGTCCGTCTTCGCGCACGACACACACCAAACAACTTTTGTCGCTCGGGAGACCGATCCGGTCGGTTGGTATGGCGGCGATTGTGCGAGTCGTCGAAAGATCCTGCAGGACGCAAGGAAGAGTCACGCGGAGCGACGGAGGCAGATGTGATATGACGCTATATTTTATGATGGCTTCAAATGTTTTTCCTTTATTACGAGTTCAAGGTGGACAAATATATTTAAAAAAATCATTGTACGACCAACTCTTCCTGTCTCACTTCTATTACGTATTCTTAGCGTTTTACTATGGAATAAAATCGAACATGACGGCAACACCACATGCGTGCACATCACCACTGTCATCGCCATGTCCGACTGCGACGAGCTCTGCTTTGCCTGCGAATGCGGCTACTTGTGTGCGAGCTGCTGCGTTGATGCGGTCGCTGCCACAAGCGCCCCGCCACCGCAACGAGTGGTGTACGTTCCAGTGCAGCCCGTCATAGTCATTTCGTCGCCTACAAGAAACTCGCATGTAGCGGGCAACTACATCAACGATGTGCACAGTCGTCAAGGTCGAGCGGTACCAATACCGATGTTCAGTAACACAGTCCAGCCATACTCGCACAATGAAGCACCGCAAAACGTCGTGGACCCCATGCCGGTGGCGATACCAACCACGGTGCCGTCACAAGCTAAAAGGCCTGAGTCCGTGCAACAGCAGCAGTCTCTCATGGTGCCATACGTACCATCCTATTCCACACCGTCCACGCTACCATATTCATATTCCACCACGTCGACGTACACCACACCATCGTACTTGCCTACGTTTCAAACGGCCCCCGCTGCTGCATCCCCGCCGTTTCGCCTTTCAAACGCCTTCGACCCAGTCGTCCGCGTTTGCTCCCGACGATTCGTCCAAGACTTCCACCAATTCGTCGCTCCATTAAGTTGTTTTCGTAAGGCAGTCAAGATGACAGGCTTGCTGAGTTCAGCACGCTGACATTCCCAACGGTCTCTAACTCGACGCCTGGGACTCGAACACGACTTTGTCCATAACTAGCGCATCCACTTGGGTGTCCGACAGCCCCAGCACTTCCTTGAGGACGCGTCGCGTGCCGCTGCCAAGCGGTTGACCCGGCCAGTTGGTCCGGCCTGGAGTCGCCTGCAACTTGGGACTGATGGACGGAATGTTGAGTGGTTTGCCATGCCCTGGGACTTGGACCGGTTCAAACATCTCGCGATGGGCAAAGTGGGGATCGGTGGACATATCAGCAACCGAGTTGATCGGGCCCACCTACATCACGCCCTAAGTGGTTCTTCCGATCGGACACACGTACGGGAATGGCGGCCGCATCAAGCTGTCGTACTATCTCGGCGAGAGGCAGTGTCTTTGTCCACTTGGCAATGGCTTCGTCGATCGCTTGCTGATGCACGACTCGGATCGTATTCGTGCTATGCGCCTTTAGCGCTGGCTCCCCAATCAAGTCCATCATCTAAGCACAAGAGGTCATCACGCTCCAAAGGTGGCTCGCGCATGAACCTTGACGTAGAGCGAATCCATGTTGGCGCCAATGACCACTTGCTTGTTGTCCAGCGTCGGGTACGTGTTGGAAGGCACGATGCCTGTGATGGTCGACCCAGAGCATTCCCGGATCGTTCCGTTGTACGAATACTCGGGCACGATAGCTTCGAGCACGTTGAACATGCTCTCGTAGATGGCGACGTCGACGACTTGACCCGTCCCGGCAGGGTGGCGCACCTTACCAAGCAGAGCCATCGTGATCCCAAGCGCCGCGTGCAGCCCCGCCATGGTGTCCCCCAAGCTCAAATTCGGTCGCGCGCTCGGCCGATCGGGGAATCCATTCACGTATCGAAATCCACCGAACGCTTCGCAGACACTCGCGAACCCCGGCTTGCCTGGAGCGCTACGTGAGTGCTACTATGGAGAGAACGTAGTCAGTACCTTTGTTTGGCCCAGTTTGGCCATATCCACTGATGCGAGAATAGATCAAGCCTGGGTTGGACACTTCAAACTCCTTCGGCCCGAGTCCCCACTGCTCCATCTTGCCCGGCCGAAAGTTTTCAATGACGACATCGCTCTTCTCCACAAGCTGCTTCACGATGGCTTGTCCTTTCTCGCTCTTGAGGTCCACTGACACACTGTGCTTGTTGCGAGCGATCGAATACCACCACAGCGACGTGCGGTGCTCGTCGTCCACCATGCGGTACTCGCGCACTTGGTCTCCTGTTTTCGGCTCGATCTTGATCACTTCGGCCCCAAAGTACCCCAAGATGGTGCCTGCAAACGGACCAGCGATCAAGTGTCCGCACTCGACGACACGGATGCCCTCGAGCGGCAGGCGCTGTTTCTTGACGGCGCCCGCCGTGGTGCTCATCCACCGCATCATCCTCGTCGTCCAAAATGAGCAAACTTCACCCAAGCAGTCTACCTCAATGAGCCAATCAAACCAATCGTGGCCAGAACTCGAACCCCGAATTTCCACTTGATGTGGCTCAGGGGATGGCACGGCCGATGACTGCTGCAAGTGGACACTGCTCGCCGGAGCCCCTTGTTTATCAAAGCATCGGCTTGGGCAGAGAGGACTATCGCGATGGCTCCCATGGCATGGCCAGCTTTCCACTTGTGGGGAAGGGACCAAGAGCCAAACAAACCATCCTGGCAAGTTCGACGTTGCCTCTTTCCTTATTTTATTGCCCTCCACGACGGCACCTGTCGTGGCTGACTCGACACATGCCCGAAACTTTTTCCTTTGACATGACGAGCCCCTGCTAACCCTGGCACATATGCTGCGTGGGCTCCCAGCGCCCGACGGGCAGCAGCCATATCTTGGACTTCGTCCGGCGTGGTCTCTCGAGCTGTTGACGATTTGGTCGGCTGGGCTGCCGTCGAGTCTGTCGGCATATTTAAGTGAAGCTTCGGCCGATGAGGCAGAGCCGCAGCCTGTTGGCTGGCAGCTTGGTGAGACTGAATTTTGTCCAGTCGAGCTTTTGCCGTCGCAATCGCTGTCTCGGACATGATGTGGAGTTGCTTCTATCCATGACAAAAAACGAATTCAATCCAAGGACAGCGGAACGCTGTACCTTGGAAGGCTGCCGCGCCATGGAAGCTTTTCGAACGATTTCAGAGGCAGCTTCTTGCCTCGCTCGCTCTTCTTCCTTCTTGAGCTTGTACAACGCAACCTTTTGTTTTGTTTCCAATCGCCTCTACAAATCTCAATCAACCCGTCGACACCAAACTCATTGTGCTGCAAACCAAGGCTTCGGCCGACGATGACAGTGGTCGGTTCGATCTCGTTTCGTTGGCCTGTTGCTCCTGCATCCGCCGCTCGGTGCGCCATGCCCGCACTTGAGCTTTGGTGTCTGCCAGCTCCCGCGCCCGACGTTCGTCCATTTTGTCGCTGGCCAACATGGGCTGCTGTGTTGGTGGGGACGGGGCGAGTGACGACGCTCGGCGTTGTTCATCTCGTTTATCTTTCCACGTGGCGATCGCCCGCCGCTTCTCGTGGACGAGCTTGAGATGACTGAAGTACCAGTCCAAGTGCGTGCGAATGGCATCGGGGGACTTGCTTGTGAGGACGCCGCTGCCAGAACAGCATCGGCGCACCACTGCCTCGACTTGTAGAGCGTCAAACCCTTCATCGTGGTGTTTCAAGTGGTTGGCCAGCGTCACGTCTGTCCAGCCCAAGTGCCGCAAGACCGCTACGAACGCTGCGTGGTCCGTGGCGTCCCATCCGCCGCAGCCCTGGCCCGTCTGGTGTATCAACGTATCCAGCATCCGAACTCGCCTCGCCTCGTCTTGATATTCCGGTATGGGCTCGTTTCCGCCAGGATTGAGTGACACCATGCCATTTCGACGCACGACACTCTGTGCCCGATGCTGCACTCGTGCTTCCACTACCTTGGTTTGGACGTTAGAGTCCCATTGCGCCATTTTGGTCTCAAACACCGCCAGCTACAGAGTCACGTAATCTGTGACTGGGTTGTGTTTTCAATAAGATAATCCATGCAGCTTGGAGGGTGTGGGTGAAAGCCCAGACAAGGAGTCTCAAGATAGAGCGTTCACCACGTACATCTCGGTGGAGCTTTCGCTCAAGCCCACCCAGCTCTTCAAGCCGCTCGACTTGATTGGAGTACACTTGCGAAATGGACGCCTCCGTGGAATCGATACGCTCGCGGCAGGCGTCGACATCAGACACCAGCACAGGCATGCCATTCGCCCGTCGAGCTTTGAGCTGAGTTATGCTGGCCGCGGTCTCACGCATCGTATCTTGCAAGTGCGTTCGTTTTTGGGCGAGGAGGCGCGCTAGTCATCGAGTCAGTAGAGATTGTGAAGACCAGCGCTGACAAACCTTCCAAGTCCCTCGCGTCATCGAGGGTATCGATGGCGCGGCTGAGCTCCACGCTAAGAGATTTCATATGCAGCGAAAGGTATGCTGCTCTGTCCCGCTCGAGACCTCGGCACTTTCGTATAAAGGATTCTTGTTTGCTCAACCAAGACACGGCTGTGTCGGTGGAAGTGTCGTGGTAGTCGCGCAGAAACAGCTTATCCCCATCTACTTCCGCGGGTTGACTCACAATGCATCGCTTCACGGTGTGCGCAGGCATTCGCCGAATCATGTCCTCCAACTCTTCAACAATTGGAGTGGAGTCGACAGACTTCATTTCAACTTGCATCATGGCAGCGTCTTGATCACTTTGTCGCTGCTCGATGATGCGCTCCAGCAATTCCCCTCTTGCAGAAACCCCGCGTTGATTGTCGCTGTCTCTCCACTCCCGCGCGCTCTGTGTCCCATCGTTCCCGTTGCTTCGTTGGTGGAGTGGGGAGTTCTGCCGACGGCGTGACGTTTGCGGAATCTCCCGGTACTGTTGCATGTGCGCTTTCTGAAGGAGGATATGCCGACCAAACGTCTGGGACAATACTGGGTTTGATGGCTTGGTTGCATGGAGGTCCAGTTGATACTCTTGCGCTTTCACCGCCGACATGCTGGCGGACATGCTGGCGGACGGTGCGTCGCTTCGAGGATTGAACGACCTTAACTCTCGTGTAGGAATGACGGTCGTCATACAATCATTACAGCTTTTTCTGAAAGTACTGCAAATTTTAAAAATTATATTAGATTCCGAGCTCACACTATTTTCAAACAGTAATGAAGTTGCTTCCACCAACGAAGGTGCAACGCGTTCGCTGCCGCGGCTTTGACCTCCACATCAAGCGCGACGATTTGCACTTCCTTCCAGGTAACAAGGTTGTACGCATCAGCATCATGCAGGGAAACTCAAAGCTTTCTTAGTTCCGCAAGCTCTTTTGGCTCGTGGAGAAGGATGCGTCGTTCTTTACAGGTTTGCAGAGCAAAGTTCATGAAGTGGCGATGTCAATGATGATTTGTGTGGTAGGCAACCATCTCTTGAGTTACGGCGGCATCCAAAGTAACGCTATGCTGGCAGTTGCTCAGCTGGCACATCTGAAGCAAGTCCCGTTCACGTATTTCACCAAACCCATATCCACGCAGCTCTTGGACCGCGCCAAAAACCTCAAATCTAATTTCAACTTGGCCTTGTCGCTGGGGATGCACCACGTCGCTCTAGAGAACGAATACGACGCTCTTGCCGACTCTCATGACTTCACTCCCATCGCTCCGCTGAACGCAACTAGATGGCTGGGAATTCCTCAAGGTTCTCTTCGTGTTTCAGCAGCGTCCTAACCATCTTGACTGTAGGTGTTGCCTTGCCCGAGGCAGCTGTCGGAATACGACGGTTGGCGCTTGAGCTGAACGATTTCGCTGAAAGCTACGCCAACGTAGGATTGATTTCTGCTATGCATAACTCACCTTGACTCTGTGTGGCAGAACGTGGCAGTGGTGCTTCCATGTGGCACTGGTACCACTGCGCATTACGTCGCCAAATACATTCATCCTTCAATTCGCGTGTACGGCGTGCCGTGCGTCGGAAGTGCGGCGTATTTGCGCGAACAACTCGCAAAGTTGGATGCGACCGCCCCTGGTACTTCCACGCAAATTGCATGTTGACTGACGGTGTATCACAGGGTCCAGTCCCCTATATGTGCTCGAGCCGAGGAAAAGAGTTGCATTTGGCACGCTCTGGCGCCCATTGCTCGACACGTATTACGAAGTGCTGAAGGACACAGGGGTTGAGATCGATTTGATCTACGGATGTCTTGCATGGGATACCATGCTGAATGCATTCGATCGGCACGAATTTGAAGGACGTCAAGTTGTGTATATCCATTCTGGGGGCCTCAGCGGGAACTCCAGCCAGCTTGAACGATACCGAAACAGGTTCCAGAGTGAATGAGCCGCCTACATCCAATGTGTGTACCATTCAGTCGCTTCACTGCCTTCCATTGGGGCTTTGATGCCGAAGACATCCGCGTGGGTAAGGCAGTGGAGGCTCACCGAAGGTTGCTCGACGGCCTTGTTCGGACAGCAACAAAAGTTTTTTTGTAGAGTACCCTTTTTGAGAAAACTTTTTATGCCAATCCTATATTTCACACACTTGCCTACAGCCTGGGGAAAATTGTGTGTTCTACAACCGACTGCGGTTATTCCCATTATTGCAAGACTCTGGTTGTGTAAAACACATTTCTCCCTCATGGACTCGAGCGTCGCACCATTTTGGAAGAGGGATTTATGTGTAGTTCCCACTGAAAACCACAACCGCACTTTATTGCACAAGGAGTTGAACCCACCATTCCTTCTTCCGGTTCGTATCCGGACAGTTCCGCCGCACCGCAAAAGAAGAGCCGTGAAGGACCAACAAGAACAATGTTGCGCCAGACTCTCCGGAAGCATGTTGGGCAATTGGGCTCCCGCCGCGCACTTAGCACAATTGGATTGAGCCCGTCTGAGGTGGAGACCCCACTCCCTGTCGTCAACCTTGTCGTTGAGGAGACCCCCATGGACGATGACGAATTGGGTCGCAAACTCAAGCCGAAAGAGGTCGTGGACCAGCTGGACAAGTATATTGTGGGGCAGAAAGACGCGAAAAAGGCAGTGGCTGTTGCCTTGCGCAACCGATGGCGCCGCCAACAGCTTCCAGACGATCTACGCCCTGAAGTGAGTCCCAAGAACATTCTTATGATCGGCCCAACGGGATGCGGGAAAACGGAGATTGCGCGCCGCTTAGCCAAGCTGGCCCAGGCGCCGTTTGTCAAAGTTGAAGCGACAAAATTCACGGAAGTGGGTTTCCATGGTCGTGACGTAGACCAAATCATCAAGGACTTGTTGGAGAACTCGATCCAGTTGGTCAAGAAGCACCGGATGGAGCGCGTACGCAAGGACATTGCGGGAGTCGTAGAGCAACGAATCATTGACGCATTGGCAGGACAACACACTGGTGCGCAATCGCGTCAGACTTTCCTGAAACTGCTTCGGGATGGGGAACTCGATGAGCGCATGATTACGGTGGACGTGCGCAGTTCCAACAACCCGAACAGCATTGGGGCGATCTCGATTGACCCATCCGGCAAAGTCAACTCGAACAACTCGACCGTGAACGATCTGATGAAGGTCATATCGGGCGGTAAGAAGATGGAAAAGAAACAAATGACAGTCGCGGACGCGCGGCCGATTCTCGAAGAAATGGAGCTAGAAAACGCCATCGACATGGGCGATGTCGTGAAGGAAGCCATTTCTGAAGCGGAGGAGAACGGCATTGTTTTCATCGATGAAATCGATAAGGTAACAGCATCCCATGTAACGATGGCCGTGGAACCTCATGACACGAACAGATTTGCTCGTCCGGAGCGTACCGCGGCGCTGACGCCAGCGACGAAGGCGTCCAGCGCGACCTCTTGCCCCTCATTGAAGGCAGCACGATCTCCACCAAGCACGGAAACGTGAACACGGACCATATTTTGTTCATCGGGTCTGGCGCGTTCCACTCGGTGAAGCCTTCCAACTTGCTTGCGGAACTTCAGGGACGTCTGCCTATTCGCGTCGAGTTGAAGGCGCTGACGGAGCAAGATTTGTGGCGTATCTTGACGGAGCCCGTGGCCAACTTGATTGTTCAGCAAAAGGCGTTGCTGGCGACGGAAAACGTGAATTTGAATTTCGAAGAAGATGCGATCAAGGAAGTGGCCCGCGTAGCGTATGAAATCAACCACACGGTTGAGAACATTGGCGCGCGCCGACTGCACACGGTCTTGGAAAAAGTTGTCGAAGACATTTCGTTTGAGGCTTCCGATTACCCTGAAGGCCACGTGCTCACGATCACCAAGGAGATTGTGCACGACCGAGTTGGGGCCATGCTCAAGAAGTCGGACCTGTCCAAGTTTATCTTGTAAGCTCTGGATAATCCACGCTAAGGTACACCTCGACTTAAACGATTCTCTTTTAATTCAAAACCTTTGTAAATGGATGTAGTATTGTAAAAGTGTTGTAGCTTATAGCAGTTTCGACATACACGATCACAATTTATCAGTATACAGAGTATTAACCTTGTGGTACCTTCAGCTCAGCCTCTGTGTGACTGTGACGACTTATGTACCGTACAGTGACACATATATTTCCTTTACTACACCTTTTCCCGATCAAGTTGGCACTTTGTTCCAATCAAAGTGGCTCGAATAAATAATATAAAATTTGACGAGATGTGCCACGTGGAAGTATTCCAATCAAAATGGATTTTGTTCCAATCAAAGTAGCTCAATAAGGCGCCACACGTAAGTGCACGAGGTCATGCTGTCATTTTCCAACCTGAACGACGAAGCATGAGCAGGAAAGGGAAGCAAAAGAGCCCGACCAAGGACGAGAGACTCCGAGTGCTTGCAGCGCACTCGGAGGGCTTGGACTGGAAGGTCGTCGCCTCTCACAATGGCATCACCCTGTCGACGGCCCGCCGCATCGTCAAGACCGGCCGAGTAACCCACCAGCCAAGAGGAGGCGCGAGACCGGGCCGAACGAAAGTGACCCCGGAGATCCTTGTTGCCTTGGAGAGATACTTGGACTCGAATTGTCAGTACACGCTCACGGCGATGCAGGCGTTCGTTGCTCGTGACTTCGACGGCGTCAATCTCTCCAAGCAAACGATCAGTCGTCACCTTCTTGGCATGCTCTACACGGTCAAGCAAGTTCGAATCGAGCCGTCCACGTGCAACAGCGACGAGAACAAGGCCAAGCGGAAGGCGTTTGCTGACGCTTTGGCTTTGGTGGTGCATGAACGGAGCGGAGACTTTATTGTCTACTACGATGAGACGAACTTCAACATCTATTGCCATCGTTCGGTTGGCCGCGCCAAGAAAGGTTGCCGTGCCACCATCGTTCTGCCGCCCTCGAAGGGTCCAAACCTGCAAGTACAATGTGCCGTCTCGCCTGAAGTCGGTCTTGTGTGCTACCGACTGGAACGAGGAAGCATCAAGATGGACAAGAATGCACAGTTCGTCGAGGAAGTTTACCGTGCAGCAAAGGCAACGGAGACCTTTCAAGCCAATTTTGCAGGCAAGAAGGTCGTTATCGTGTTGGACAATGCGCCAGCACACTCGCAAACCGAGCAAAGGGTCCAATCGCACGAGGACCTCGTTTTGCTCCGTCTTGGGCCCTACTCACCAATGCTCAACCCAATCGAAAGTTGCTTCAGTGTCCTGAAAGCCAATATCAAGCGTTACTTGGCCGAACGTACTCACATGCTGTTCGACCGTCGTGAGTTTAACTCCTACTTGGAAAGCCGAATGCGACTTCTTGAAGAAGCTGCCACGGAATGCCTCCCATGTATTACCCACTCTTTGGTGA